TATTTAACAAGGATACACATTATTCATCCATGTAACATTATTTAAGAACAAATTATACAAGCAGCTAAAAATCATACCTGAAGGTCCACGAAAACCAGTAATGTGGCTCATGCAACTAAAATTCCCTGACATTAATTCCCAGTCGTCAAAGTTTTCTTCATTCCAGTTGCTCTGCGTGTACACAAAACATTAAAAACCACTCATGATTATATAATATTAAACCATTTTGAGCCTTATATCTTAAAGAGCGCAGGATATTATTAGGTTTAAACCCCTATATAGCTAATTATACATTATATTTATATTCAAATTGTGAAATAAATTACCTCTGGAAGGTGATTTGATTTTTCGGATTGATCATCATGATCAGTAGCGAACAACAGCAAGCGTCTTCGTTTGGATGGCTCGTCAAATTCAAGGAGAGCATCTTCTAAGTACCCGGTTGAAAAATCGGACTCTAGAGAAGAGAAAAATGGTAAAGTCCTTGTATCCATGGCTGTGACATAAACGCGTTATTCACATCATGAGTAGGCTTTAAATTACCCAAGATAAGCGTTGTGGACAAAAACTGTAGTATAAAGGAACAAATAATTAACGGAAAAAAAAGAAAAGCATAATCAGACACCGTACGTACCTAAAGACATGTCTCCTCTGAGAACTCCGAGGCTTTGGAGATCCCAACCTGGGGAAGAGAGGCCAGCACCACCAATGCTTTTGTAATAAGCCATGGAGTGAAGCTCAAAACCAGCCCGTATTTTTGTCTCTGTATAATTATTTTGACACACGTTCATTTCATATGGGGCAGTGGCGACATAGTGTCCTGGCGAGCCATATACACTGGAATGATGCAAAGGGGCGCTATTTATTGACGTAGTGTTTGTAGAAAAAGAGTAAGAATTATATTAGTATGAATTTAGAAGCAGAAGCCAGTCAACGGCAAGCAAGAGAAAAGCCATTGTTTCTTGGGATATGGGAAATGGGGTCGGACTTTTGTATTATTTCCTGGTGTTTGTATACGTGTAAGGGTTAATCATGGTGGGGGGGCCAGAACCAAATTATGGCGAAGGTTATCATTTTGCTATCGTTTGGTGCATGTAAATGTCTGTGCGGTGGAGAGAGAGAGAGAGAGAGAGAGAGAGAGCAAGGAACCCCAGCTCAGACACACAATTCAAATTTCAGCTTTCCATTCTTTTCTATTTCATTTCTATTTTTTCTTTTTCCCTTTTCCCCCACTTCTCCTCTCCGATGCTTGTTGTTGCCAACCGTTTTGCCTTTGTGGAACTTTTTTCACACATCCTTCACCAATTGTGGGTCATATCAGTTCCCTCCACCACTCTATTTATTTATTTGTTTGCTGTTGGGCTTTTTTGCTAGTGGGTCCATTTCTTTATTTATTTGTTTGCTGTGGGGCTTTTTTGCTAGTGGGTCCATTTCTTTGGTGTGCTGGTGGGGGCCGGCGTAAGGATTTTGAGGATGAGAAGTGTGGGGCCACGCCCTTCTGTGGGGCTTGATTTGATTTGAAACTTTGTGTATTTGATGATTAACGTTTTGATCAATCAAACCGCAGGGATGGAATTTCCGACCACGACAATATTAATTTTTATAGCATGCAGGTGTAGATAGCTTCTATAAGTGCCGATTAAAATGAGTTTAAGAGAGTTTTTTTTTTCTTGTAATATTTTATAAATAAAATAATTAATGTAACGTATTTTATAATTAATTTTTAATTTGTTATAGAATATTATTAGCTTATAAAATTATGTCAAAAAAATTAGATATTAATTCATTCAGGATATCATTTAATAATCTTAATTGCAATCAGAACTTTTGTTGCAGCATAACTCCACCACTCCTGCCGTCACTCAATCACATAATGTATCATTTTTTGCATTGTCTTATAAAATATTTTTTCACATATAATTTTTTTATTCATAAAATATATCATAATGTAATAAAAAAACATTCTTAAATTTGTTATCAGAAAATTGGTCAGGTAATATCCCACTACAACTAAAGAAAAAAACAGCATGAGAAGATCAGCGGTACAAGTTCACTTGGTGTGTGAACTGTGAAGGCCACTTTTTATTTTTTTCTATGGTGGTGTGTGCCAAAAAATCTGGAAGTGATGGACAGATATTAACGGAAGAAGAGAGATAGTGGGCCGGGCTTGATGCTGGGAGTGGTCATAGAGTCCATGAAAGTAATTGGGCGTTAGGCCCATTGACAGCTATATTTCACCCTTTTCTTCTGTTTTCATAAAAGGGCCCTCTGGTTGTTTTTGTTTTGTTACTATATATTGGGGCAATGCTTGGTAGCCCATGATGGAATTGAATTGAATGTATAATATAACGGGATAAATAATAGCGTGATGAAATCGTATAGTTCATTTCAATTATGCAAGAACAAATGGCTTGAAGGTTGAGTTGATATCGGATGTTCATGACATCATGTAAACCCGAATGTAGGGCTAGGATTGAAACTAGCTGTAGGAGATTGGACGTTGTCATGTAGATCATTATATTATATGAGAAAGTATATATTTTTCCAAGTTTGATGCTCATTAAGACCAGATTTCAGGATGTTACCATATGATAATCTCATATAAGTCCTCGATCATCCCTGACATAGCAGAGATCCTCGATTGAGTCTTTCCATATAAAACTATTGTTATTTTTCAACATAAAAAGGAAAGGGGAGAGTAAATGGAAAAAAAAAGAACCAAGAAATGAAAAGATGGCAGATTCTGTAAGCAATATATAAAGACAAACTTCAACTGCAAAAGCTGAAGAATACACATAAGAAGATACAGACGGCATGTTAAACAACTGCCGCCGCCGCCGCCTTTGATTCTACTGGGTCAATGATTATATGGAAGAACATGACCCTAAAATGGCAGCTCTTATTAACACAATCTCAGCTCTTCTCACGTGGGCTTTGCTACTTCCCTCCTGTCTTTTTTCTGGACTTACATCATGGGAGCGTGTACCCTGCAAGGAGACGACAGCAAGATTAGGCGTTGTTTTTATCAAGAGCAAATGGTTCGGATATCTGGGCTGTCTGGTGATCCTGCTGCTGCATAAAGCCCACGCAAGGAATCGAGCAACGGGCCCTGTCGAAATGCAATTCCTTCTCAAGAACTTCCTGTAGCGTCCTCTTAAACGCACGCTCGTTTCATGCCAATTTTACTAATGACACTCCCATTTTGCTGGTATGAATCAAGCGGTAGTGATTCATAAGGCGCAAAAACTAAAATGAGTCCCTGATCTAACTTGTAACTGAGTTGATAGTATTCTCTTTCCAGAAACTTCAGATTTAACCTCTTCTTTGTAAGAAAATTACTAAAATTAGTTCAAAATTAACTAGTGTTAGCTACTCCACTGATAAAGCTACTCGATATGTTGATGAAAGTCCATGCCCGTTAGGCTATTTCTTAGAATCAAAACGGAAAAAAATTTGAGACCAGGAGAAAAATGCTTTATTGATTTTAGTGTTAACCTACCAATTTCGAAACATGAGGAGGGCAAGACGACTAGGGGGAAATAGTGATTTTGATAATAATAAAAAAAAAACAATTCGAAACAAATTGTAAATACTGCCACTTACTTCCACACTTCTTTCCGGCTGGTCTGTTTCCAATGTTGCAACGCTTTGGAATGGTGATGGCAATTCCTGGCTTAATTCCAGCTTGCTTTGCCAGAGGTGACAGCAATACAGCACAGAGACATTTCGGGGCAGTCTTGATCAAGGAACCAACTTTGGAGCAGCAAGTCGGTGGCACCGCGGCCCTTACATTCCCTGCCGCGCTCAAGCATGGGCTCAAGCTAGCCGCTGCTGACCTAATTGGTGTCTTCCCACACTCTCCTGCCGCATTAACATCACATATGAAAACATTTGAAGCTACCAAACAAGCTAGCATAACCACAACCCAGGCTCTCATGTTGCTACTCATTGTTTCTATTCTTGAAGAAGGCAACTTCACTCTAATTGGTACATGCATTACCGAGTATGTAGCCCATATTTATAGGCGCTACAAATTGCTGTTCTTCTGATAGTGCGGTGGTTGTGGAGGCGTGGAGGAAGGATGCGGTTTCGTGCCTGAATATTGTTTTCAAAATGTAATGATTTGATTCACTTCCACTGAGAAACAGTAGCCTCTATTGTTGACACAGAAGATATCTTTCCACAATTAGATTACCCTTTCTTTCTCATCCAAGCATTTCTCCTCCTTTCACAGATGATGTAACTCGATTGGCGGGTTAGATACAAAACAGTGTGAACGTAAGAATTGAGGCTTGGGAATTATCATTAAATTTAACATGATTGAGAGTTCCATGATATGCTCCTCCCTGCTTTCTATATTACAAAATTGCGTGTGGCATACGTATGCAATGAAGTTTTTTTTTTTTTTTTTAATTATATATATATCAAGAACCACAGGGTATAATGCCCATACAAATGTTTTTTCGTGGAAGTGACGCACTGTCAGATCTCTCTAATCTCCTTGGTTTTCCCTGGGTTTAATTTTATGAGGCCGGGCTTGATCTGTATTTCTTTTTTATTTTTTTAGCTAGATAAACTCCGTTTATTTTTATATATAAAAAATATTTTTTATTTTTATTTTAAATTAATATTTTTTTAATATTTTTAAATTATTTTAATAAGTTGATATTAAAAATAATTTTTAAAAAATAAAAAATTATTATTTTAATATATTTTTAAATAAAAAATATTTTTTTAAAAAAACCCCATTTCCTATAGCTCTGTGTTGGCTTTTGTGCTTATAATGCTTGGGCTTAATCACCCCCTTTTTTAATTAACGAGAATCAATGTATTGTGCTCGAATATAAATCTATTTCACTTGTCGGCCGAAGCCCACTATTGACCCGAGAAAAGCACACACAAAAGCAAGCAACCCAAGTAGCACTACTTGGAAGTAACCGATATCAATTTTGTAATAAAAATATGAAGTCGGCAATCAAATTGAAGTGAATCGACAGATCGAAGACTAAAGCAATTAAGCAACAGTAAAATACTGCAGTTAAAGAGTTGCCGTAAAGGTTTACAAACTCCCTCCGTGGAAAAATGAAGGGCTAGAAAAAGGACTAAATATTTAGACCAAACAATTTTATCATGTCAGTTCAAAAAAAGCATGAAAAATTTAAGAAGGGATCCTTCTCAATGAAAATTGTGATTTGTGGCTACGCAGTAGCCAGGCAGATCTAACATATTTTATTTTTGTCCGACTTCTTGGCCATGACAAAGTTTTTCCAGTAAGCAGTGATTTCCCTTTGTGTCTCCATGGCTGTTTTCTTGACCACAGTGCCATTCTTTCCTTTTAGAGAGCCACTAATCTTTCCATTCTCTTCACTATTGATAGACATTTTAGATGAGGGCTTCGCAGGGAGGGCATCAAGTTCATGCATAACCTTCGTTATGTCAAGCACAAGTCGCTCAGCAAGGGTGCGAGAGAAATCTTCTCTGATAACAACACGAAGAACTGTAATGTGCTTCGCATCTGCTGGCATGGTGTATGCTGGCACAATCCAGCCAAAGCGACGTAGCGTTTCAGCTATTTCAAACTCGTCGTATCCCCGGTTTTGGTCCTTGAGTGAAAAGGCCACGAGAGGCACCCCAATGTCCTTTGACACAATCTTAAAGCGCCCTGTTTTCTCCAGTCCTTCTTTTAGCACCATAGCATTATCATGGCAGTTATCCATCACATTTCGGTACCCCTGATGACGACACAGAAAATTTTTAGTTTTTCTTTTGTAGAAAAATAACTTACTAGAAGAGATGGGGTTCCATTATCCTATTGGCCTTCTCACCTCATAGCCCAGGCGGATTAGTTGGTAGTACTGAGCAATGATTTGACTAGAACCTGAAATAGAAAAGCGATAGAACTCCATGTTAATTAAGGTTTAAGAAAGTTCCTATGCCTTATATAAATTCGAATAAACTGCAATCACCTTTTGAGAAGTTAAGAGTAAAAGTGGGTTGATCGGATCCAAGGTAGTTTATGTGGAAGATAAGTTCCTCTGGCAAGTCTTCCTTGCTCCTCCAAATAACCCACCCAACCCCAGCATAGACAAGGCCATACTTGTGGCCACTGACATTGATGCTCTTCACTAATGGAAGTCTGAAATCCCATTCAAGCTCTGGCCACAGGAATGGTGCAATAAATCCACCACTAGCTGCATCAACATGAATTGGGGTATCCCATCTGCCAAGCATAGGATTAAAAAATTAAATTACAGCAATGTTACTCTATGCATATAAAGGATATGCACTGTTTATATATATATAAGGTAATTCAAGCTAATTAATGAGCTTTGTTTGGGATTGTGATCTAGTACTGGTAAGTACCCAGTGATTTTGTTCTTTTCAAGCAAAAGATCATTCAAAAGCTTGACATCTTCAAATTCTCCATTGAGTGTAGAACCCAAGATGGCTGCAACACAGATTGTGTTCTCATCCACCATTTCCACGGCTTTGGCTGGGTCCATTACATAGTAGTCCTCGGTCAGCTTCACCTCCTTCAGTTCTACCTCAAAGTACCTTGCAAATTTCTCCCAGCATACCTACACACATACATAGATAGATAATAAAAAAAATAAAAATAAAATCCATCTGCATTTATAAAGATTACAGCAACATTTTTTCTTAGAAATAAATACATAAACCTTGATTGATCTACGACAGTATAATATGGAATTGCATTTTATTGGAAAAGTTTTGATGCCCAAATGATATGGACTGACTAATAGGCTGCTATTTTCATGTTTCTTTTGCCTGGTGGCTCTGACACTCTATAGCCCAGCCCAATATAACGAGCCCTGGTCTTGGAGGTGCCCAAGCCTCCTCTTTATCAGAAAATAGATTCGATCTTGTAACTTCTTTTTTTAATCTGTCTCTGGTGTTTATACTGCTGCCCTTTATACTATTATAAAAACAAGAAAATATGGTTTTTATTAAAAAAAACAAGAAGAAGAAAAGAAACGTGGGAAAAATGATGTGAGGATTGAATCAAGGGTCATACCTGAACATTGGCGCCAGTAACAATGTTAGGCTTGTCATGGGGTTTCCCTTCGGCCTTGCGCTTGTTCTGCCACTTTCTCTTGAATGCAAGACCAGCCAGCATTATTGCCTCTGATGATCCTACAGTGCCAACCCCGACAGCAGCCTCAGACTCCCCTAAGGGAGCATTGAAAAGGTGTGCTATCATGTTCACACAGCGATTCTGCACATAAATATCAAGTAATTTTGTGTCAGTCAAATCAATTCTATTATTTAAACACATTTTGATTTGTCCAAGCCCACGATTTGGTAATAAGCACGTCAAGAAATTGTGCGATCGATGTTGAAAAAAAATTGTTTGAAAATGATATGGTATAGATAGACAAGGTTTGCTGCAAAATCTCCCAGCAGACCGTTTATTGCCCATGGTTTGCGTAGATCTTCTGTAAGCAGAAATTCCCAGTCTATTGACGGCCTCTGTATATGCTCGTTAATTTTAATTGATATGATATTGACCAAAGCACCATAAGACAGGGAAGAGTTTCAGCTGAAAAGTTATATTCCAGCTTTCTGACTTCACGGTCTAAGAAAACCAAAACAAAAGCGAAAACAAATCAGTATGCATCCTTTCCCTAAACACTTGTCTACTAAAAAAATATAAAGAAGTTCCAATTATTATTTTTCCTGGTCTTGATAGAACTGATGGAGCCTTACTGCCCTTAAAAGTTTAAACCATAAAACAAAAACAGGCTTGTAAACCATGGGAAAGTGTCCACTGGTGTAGCATCTCTGCATTGGAAACAGAGGAAAATTATGCATCACCAGCACGAACTCTCTAATTCTTGCTTTGGGCATCGGATGCTAAAAAGGACTCTGTACAGAGCTCGTAAACAATACACCTATATATATATATATATAGTATGCAAGTAATTGTTAAAGAGAGGATTGGGTGACCTGAAGCTCGGTGGTAACGGGGTACTCGTCCATGTCAACGTAGTTTTTGTTGATAGAGTCCATAATAAGCTTATCCCATTCAGGCTCCATCCAAGTAGTCACGAAAGACGCCAAGTTCAGCCTCGGTTTCCCGTCAAGCATCAGCTCATCGTTTATGATCTGGAACGCTGCCTCCTTCGGTATCGAGTTCTCCGGCATCTTGTACCTGCAAATATCATGATATATCAACCGCCAGCATATATTAACATCTTATACATTCCAGCGCGCAAGCACCCCCGCGCGCGCATATATATAGCAGTAGAAACATCCTATACATTCCAGCTCGCAAGCACCCCCGCTATATAGCAGTAGAAATGAGATGGGGGGGGTCGCAAGGCACAGCAACAAATTAGGTGATGATTGCGTATTATACCTTGGCAGCGACTCTCGGACGTAGCGAGAGGCGAAGGTGGAGTGCATAGAGACATCGGACTGGGAAAAAGTTTTAGAGAGCACCATTGTGTGGGTTTGAGAACAGACAAAAGATCTTCAAAGATTTAGAGCTGTTTCTGCCTTGGTTTGCTTGGACAAGAGTTTGGAGAAAGTCGTGGTATTTATAGCTACCTAGAGGGGCGCTGGTTATTAATTAATTAATTGCCTTCTCCTATTTAAGTTTTGGAGGTGTGAATACAGATGATGGAGTGATTCCCCTTCTGCTTTTTTCTATTCTCTAAAAAAAAAATATTCGAAAATAGTGGCTGTGTTCATTATTTCTGTACCTCGCTTCGCCCACCGAAATGCAGAGGAGAACGATTACAAGGAAATAAACGAGAACAGAGCAAGGGGTTATGTACAAATAACCATTTGTAGACGGCCACTCCAAGTCACGACTTTTAAATAACAAAAATTTATTTGTTCAAGACAACAGAAATTCTTTCGAATTTCAACTCAGTATTTGACAGGGAGTTTGATCATGTCAGTTGTGACATATCATTTTTTTTTATGTTGTAAGAAAATATATCCTGTCACGATAAAAAAATAAAAATAGAAGGATCTCTGTGATAAAACAAAAAATAGAGAAGGATTTAATCATATTTTTCTCAGAATTCGACAGGGAGTTCGACCATGTCAGTCGTGACATATTTTTTTCGATGTTCATCATTTCACTCGCCGATTTTGAAAAATAAGCCGTGTAGACTGTCAACTAATTACACAAGCCATTGACAAAGGCGGTTCAAGTATCCTCTCTGTTCCTCAAATTAACCGACTCGAGCTCAAATTTATCTCCTCGGTCTGTTCTTTATATAATTAATTGTTTTCCTTTTTCTGTCAACGCGTCCCTTGCAGCACAAAACGTTTTTTTTTCTCCAGCTTTTAAAGCGAGACCATAGAGAATCTAGAATATTAATTCTAATTTTTTCGCATCATTTCAAGATAAAAAAGGAAAGGAAAAGAAAATAAATTTTGACGATCGATAATAATCCAAAACCAGGTAATATTCCCAGTTTAATACGTGTTATGTTAGTGAAGTTTCGTCTTATATAAGCGAACACGTAACAAAATCATCCATGTATCTAAGAAACCTTTCATGTATTTCGCATATCAAGTCTCTCCCTCTATAGACGAAGAATATATCATTAGTTTCTGTAAGCAAGAGGAGAACATTTGACGAGTGGTTTTGATTCTTAGGCTGATTATAAAGGCATACACGCTAGGAAAAGAAGCTGTCGCCCACAGAACATTTACTAGAAGCGAAACGAAGCCTTCAAGCATCATCTTCCTCTAATCTCGACGCTTTCGGTGAAAGTTGATGATATCGAAGATTTTTTATTTTTCACTTCGAGGTATATTGATAAATTAATCTTCACAGTATTTTATTGCGGGCAATGGTTTCGTGCCAGTTTGGCACTACGGCAGCTGCAGTGATAGAAAACAAACACTAAATTAAAGTGTTTGATTAATACAAACTATAACTTTTTTCATATGGATTCCATCCACAAAAATTGAGGTCTAACCTTAATTTATATGAAATGTAATTTTTATTTGCTTCTTCTTTTCTTCTATATAGAAAGTGAATTTGAGTGGACGGTGAAGATTGTGACTCCCCTGTTTACTTAAATAATGAAAAATATTTTTACTATTAATGTAAACAATTGAGATGAAGCCCGATCCAAAACAATAAAAATACATTGAATTAGGCTCAATCAGATAAAACAATTTATTTTTTATTTTTAATTATATTTTATTTAAAAAAATAATATTATACATGATTTAATAACACTATATAAATTAAAAGAAAATAACTTGATGACGTAATATTTGTAGAGTTTGATTACAATTTTAATTTTATTCTCGATGATACTTTACTTGATATTATTGCTCGCTTATGAAACCAATAAAACTATAGTTCTTGTCAAATATATTTTATACGTGATGGAATTATAGATAATTTAATAAAATAATAAAAAAATATTTTTTTATTAAATATTATTCATTTTATAATGTAATAGTAGCAGTTGAATCAATAATATTTAAATTAAAAAATATCAATATTAATATATTATTTTTAAAAATATTTTATAATCTCAATTTAAGAAATATTCTTAACCAAATACGTTAAATTATTTTTTATTTAAAATTTAATTTTAACTAAAATTTTAATCAGATATATATAAATATTAAACAAACTCTAACTAAAAATATTTTTTATAAATTAATTTTTTAAATCATAATCACAATAATTATCATAATACTAGACACTACTCAGAGTATTTTAGTTGGTATGCCAAATAATAATCACTTTCGTTTTTACTTTTTTAAATGTCAATAATAAAGTTATATTCCATTTAGTTTTCATGTATCAAAATCAAATTCTTTTTTAATATAATTTGACACTGACTACCTGGTGTATTCATGAGAAATAATAACTTTTGTTGATTTTAATTATCACGGGCACACTTTAGCACTTTTTGAGCACTGAAGATTTTTTGCAATAAATTAGCTGGTAAAGGGTGATCACTACGAGCATTTCTAAAGTTGCAGGTCAAAGAAAAGCTACAAGTCAAGGCTGACAGGTTCAGGGGTCCTTCCCTGAGATGGTGGTAAAGGGAGACCCAAGGCCGGTTTGATAGTCATCAAACTGCGGACGCGGCGACTCTAATCCGCCATTGCATACGCGGCAACTCTGGTTTTGTTCCCCCTTTTTCTCCCATGTTGAATCACTCTGTGGGATGTTAAGCAAAAAGTACACACATAAACCATTTGCTCAAATGGAAAACTTCGAGGGTTATAAGGCGTTTTGTTGCTTCTTTATCATTTTTTTTTATTTTAAAGTTTTAATTTGAGATCATTTATTTTTTAGAATATCAAGCCAAAGTGAGAATTATGTACTTAATATTGTCCAACAATATTGGTATGCAAACCGGTTTAAGAAAATATTTGCCATCATTATTAAATAACGAAAACAAAGAAAAATTCCTTTCAAAAGGAAACCACGGTGGTCACGGTCAAAAACAAGAAACGGCCAATGGTAGCTAGCTTGGACTTCGAGGATTTTCTGTATTTTCAATCTCTCATGTCACCTACCTTGAAAGCATGTTCCTTCTCAAAATAGCAAATGTATGTTAATATTTAAAATAAAATAAAATAAAATTATGTATATATATATATATATATATATATATATATGCGTATGGGTTGTATATTCGTTAGCATCGTATTTGATTCGCAAGACTTCACCGTCCAATGTTTCCCCTTATTCTGGGATGAATATATTTCTTGTTACCATCCTTTTCCTTGATCTGCGCTGAAACTTCCTCATTTTCAAGTGTGAATCAGAGAAATGCTAACAATACATTTGTTTTTATCTTTTAAAAGTGTCTCGCAATGAAATAAATAATTTTTTTTTATTTTAATTTAATTATTTTTATGTTTCATGATCTTTTTAATATATTTAAAAATAAAAAATATTTTTAAAAATAACCTCTACTGTAATAATAAATGGGTCTAAATACAGGAAAAACACACATTTCAAGAAAGAGAAAATAAAGGAGTGTCAAAATAATATATTGAAATTTGAAAGGTCAGCATAAAAATTTCTAAGAAAAAAAAATGAAATTTTCAATCCTTGAATTGACCTGTTCTGTGTATATTGTTTGACTTTGACCCTACTCGATCTTTAGAGATTTTAGTAAATGTTTTTCACATCAAAGTTAAGATGCATTCCCTCTTGTATCTATTTCCTGTAGCAACGCCAGTCTTTATTTCTTAACATGTGGCAATGTTATGTCAAAGATTGTCTTTTAAATGGACATCATGCTCATAGTCACTCTCTAGTTTCTAGATCAGTACACGCACTTCGGTTTGTTTATCAGAAGACTCCAGCAAAGACAATTTAACATCCAGCTAAATTCACATCGGTGTTTTACTATGAACTGTTCTTAAAAATATCAAAAAATAAAAAACATATAGAGGTGAACTAATATTTTTCATTTTGTTGCATAGTACAATAACACCTATGGCGTTATAAAAAATAGAAAACACTTACGTCTAAGGGGTATTTTTGAGTTTTATTTTTTTCACATTGTAATTACCAAATAGTCCTTTGGGTCAACTTTTTCTCTAAAGGTAAGGGGTATTTTTGGTTTTTCAAACCTTGTTTTTTTTCGCAATTATATCATGGCCCAGGGTTTTCTAGTCTTTGTAACATATCTATACAATGTATTCACCGAATAACCATTGGAATCAACTTTTTTTTGCCTAGAGGCATTTTCTTGTTTTTTAACCTTGATTTTTTTTAGAATTATTATGTGGGGTTAGCAGTATTCTGGTCTTTTTATAATTTGAAAACAAAAGTGGCCGGACTTGCAGGGTATATACCAGCATATGGGAGGCACTCATGCCTTTTGAGAGGCGCGTGAGGTGCCTCTCAATTGCCATTGATGGTCTTGAACGACGATGTTCTTACCCATTGAGGGATAAGAATTACCCCCACTTTGTCTCTTGCAGAAGTACCTGTCATTTATCGGTGTTTTTTTTTCTACCTCTGAACCTTAAATAATTGAATTGAACCGAACTGAATAACATGATGAGTTTAAATTGGTTTCAATTTTA